TTTTTACAAAATTATTGTTTGTGATATAGGTTAATTTTTTTAGAGTAAAAGAACAGAAAAAGTCGATTTTATTAATTAGTAAGTTGTTTGAGCCATTAATTTTTTATAAAAGCTCAAACAATCTAATTGACTTTCAAAAAATTTATCTATTATATAGAAGTATATAAATCTTTATTTCTTAATTACCTCCTTGTCAAGGAGCTCTAGAATATTTTACCGGTAAATAAAACTCTCGTTTTTCCATATTTACTTTCTCAAGTCTTATCCTTAAATTACTTTATCATATCCATCTCTCGACCTTCATAAATCAAAATATTATTTCCTACGCTGTCCAAAAGATCCCAATGAAAATTTAACCGGAAGAACGGAATAGAAGCATTTGAGACACCTAGAGAGAAATTAAATTCACAGCATGCTTCAGAAATTTATTAAGTCAAGATCATACACGGAAAGAACAAGATTATACTGGATATAATCCCAGATTATACCGAGGGAAAAAAAATTCAGATAGTAGCTAGTATAATCCAGATAACAATGAGTATAATCCAGATTACAATGAGTATAATCCAGATATTATTCAGTATAATCTGGATTATACTAGCTACCATCTTGAATTTTTTTTCGCCTCAGATGTCACTGAGTATAATCTGAGATGGTATCCAGTGTCATCTTGTTTTTTCCGTGTATGAACCAATTAATTTCAACTAAACAGTGACTGCTAAAATTTACAGCCAAATTTTTAAACTTTAGTCAGCTAATTTAGAAAAATTTTTCTAGCAGTTATTATTATTAGAATAACCGATTTTTTTTTTTCTTTATCTATTACACTACGAACTTGTAAAGATACCGATGTGTAGGTCGCTAACCATTCATGCATGATCCATATAAAGTAATATGCCGTACACGAAAGCATCTTAATGCTTGCACGTCAACTATATTAAAATTAATGATCTGGTGCTAAATTGTTCAAGATTTAATGTTATTTACCTTTTTAACTTCTTGCCATAAAAACTTAAAGTCTTCACAAAAAAAAAAAAGATTTGTTTTCGTCGAAGTTTTATCGAATAAGAAAAATTTAAAGTCTTCAATAAAAAAAAAAAAATCTCTGAATTTTAAATAAAAATAAGATCAGAAAAACTCTATAAAAATTTTAAAGTTTATCATTTTAGACAAGCAGAACTAGGGCTTCATGCATCACCCTCAACTTTTCGTTGAGCGTGTTTGGCAGAATAACAAAATCCTCAATAAACTCGGACCCAGTTTTAAGAACATCAGTGATACCCTAGTTAACTTAGCGATCACTGTTGCCAAAACATAAATAATGTAAAGGAAATAAAAACTTTTATGAAACATAAAATAATTTTATTGGATATATCTTCGATGGCATTGTGAAAGATGATAACTGATTTTTTTACCAATTTAAACTTTTTACTCTCAGAATATTGTTAATATTATTCAAATAATTTTATTTAAGATTACAATACAATCTTGTTATATTTTATTCCGCGTCAACGCGTCATATTTCTATTTTATTCAATAACTTCTTCTTCCGATAGGAATAAGATTTAACTGAAAAAAAAGTAGTCGATTTTATCACCCAGTACATAATCATTAAAGTTTTTTCACCTCTTACGAATAAAAAATATATTATATCCCATCGTGACATTATTTTTTTGTCCGTTCTTTTTTTTTTCATCGCTGAAATTTAGCTTTTCCCGTTTTTCACGTCTCCTTACTCGTCCATTTTTTTCGAATTATTTTTCTCGTTTCTAAAATAAAAAATTACTAGATTATGGTAATGATAAGAATAATTTTTCTACCATCTATCTTTTTATGGTTGTATAGAATTACATAAAAAAATTAAATTATATAATCAAAGTATTTTTGCATTTGCACAAATTTGTAGATCTACAACGAGTGAATAAGTGGATGAAAAGCGCTTTGTAAGAACGGGGAAGAGGGTATGGGTAATGAGTAGAACATTCAGACACGTACATCTATTCATTTTGTGGCTTTTCCCGAATACGCGATTAACATTGTCGTGTTAGTTGGGAAATACACTTTCATACAATACAATAGAATAATATAATACAACACAATAACTTGGCTCTTTCCAAATGATCGAGATCACGAGTTAACCTCTCGTGGAAAATTCAACGATGCATGTTCACATTGATAGGATGAACTATTCTTGCGGTGACGAGTTTACGGTTCTCTGCAATTGCAGTTTTCATTGGAATTTAATTTATCTATTGATGCGACGCATCAGTCAGAGATACGGTCGCTAAATTGTCATTCGATACAATGAAGAACTTTCTACAAGCTCAAACTCACATACCAGTATAAATATATACCTGTCACTCTTTACTAATTAAGCTATTAACTGTCATTAATAAGGAGGTCCTTTCGCCGCCAATGTAAAATAAAAAATATTAGATTATGAGTAAATTCAATTTTTTTCTAATAGTTAAGGTCCTTATTTATCTAATAGTGAGGTTTAAATTATACTTTACCGGACAAATTTTTGAAAAAATAAAATTTTTAAATGTTAGTATTTGTTCAGAGTCTTACGAGAAAGTCAGTCGTTTGCAGTATTTCTCGAATTATATACTATCAGTTATGGATTAGAAGAAGTAAAAAAAAATCTAAAAATTACATTTTCGAAATATTCAGGTTTCTTTTTTTGCAATAAAATATATCAGTTACCGAGATATTTATTGAGAAATTAATATTTAAAAATCACAAAAAATTCTCAAGTAACCTACGTTAAAATGGAGTCAAAACATTTGGCAACGTTGCGTAGCGCGCGAGCTTCAGACCATTCAATAAATTCAAACTAATTTATTTATTTACACTGACTGCAAAAACTTAAACGTGGTTAAGGTTATATTGTGCAAATGAAAATGTAAACAACCGAAGTACAGCGTTGCCAAATCACGGACAGGTTACTAGCAGTTGATTTGAAAGAGTCAAATTAATTTTTGTATTTAACTATTTTTTTTTTGTTTTATTTTCAAAATTTCAACGATTAATGCCTCATATACTATTTATTATCTAATTTTAGGAATTTTTATGGGTTTCTTTTTTTAATTTATCGTATATTGACTACTACAATTGTTTTGACTCAACTGGAGCGAAAGGATTTCCTTATCGCTAATCAAATATTTGTTTGATATTATTTGTCAAATAAGTAAGTGTACATAATTCTACAATCGTAAATAAATAAATATTAATCATTGAATGAATCGCTCTATTTTACGATTCAATTTTATAAAATTATCATCTATATTATTAAGAGAATAAGAAAAATTTTGTTTCTATAGTCACTTGATAAACTCGGTTTTTTTTAGTGAAATTTAGTGTCATTACAAAGGTCTTGAATTGAATTTGTGCCTTTGCAAAGTTTTTTATCATTCTCATCAATAGTTAATTTATTATGATAAGTATTTAAGCTGCATTCGAAAATGCTCTATCTCTAGATACATAATTAAGAAATGACCTTGTATCTTGTAAACTATTAAAATTTTCGAAGATATAAGCTCATTCCGACATTACACTCATCGAGACCTTTCATTTGAGTACCCACATCAATTTTTCATATATTTATATATATTATATATATGTATATATGAAAAATATATCAAAAATGTATGTGAGTACTCAAATGAAAGCTCTTGATGATTGTAACATCGAAATGAGCTTATATCTTTAAAAAAGTCAATAGCTAAAAAAGTACAGTGCAATTTAACAAATATCTTGTGAACCATTGACATTTCTTAAGATATAAGCTCATCCTGATGTTACACTCATCGAGACCTTTCATTTGAGTACCCACATTAATTTTTTATATATTTTATATATTTCATAAATATCATATATATAAAATATATGAAATATATATAAAAAAAAACATGTGGGTACTCAAATGAAAAGTCTCGATGAGTGTAACATCAAGATGAGCTTATATCTTCAATAACATCATTAGGTGACAAAAATACAACATCATTTCTTAATTATTAATATTTTTAAAGATATAAGCTTATGCGATGTTACACTCATCGAGACTTTTTGTTTGAGTACCCACATAAAATTTTTCATATATTTTATATATATGAATTTGTAAAATATATAAAAAAATCTTGTGGGTACTTTAATGAAAGGTCTCGATGAGTGTAACATCGCAATAAGCTTATATCTTTAAAAATATTAATAATTAAGAAATTACAGTGCAATTTAGCAAAAATCATTATTTAATTTAATAAACCAAAATTTTATATTATTTATAGTTAACAAGTCACGGCAGTCACATAGTGACTGCAAGGTTGCTAGTATATGTTATTTTTTTTATAAGTGTTTTTTTGTGTTAAGACTAGATCTCTTTTAATTATTTATCAAACGTGGAGATTAAAATAATATTTTAAAGCTCAATTTTTTTGCTTTTGATAAAAAAAAAAAAATTTTTAATAAAAAAAATTTTTTTAATAACTGACTAGATGAAACATTTAGCTGTGAGAAGGTCGGGGCAACGAGCAAAGTCTGTGTGCCGACACACGAGCGCCAAAAGCTTCATCCACTTAACTCATTTTTAAATAAATATATCATGTAAAAAAAACGTCTGATCATATTATATTGTGAAAAATAGTAAATGCAAATATTTATTTCCATAATAAAATATCATTGTTAATTAAAAAATTATTTTATCACGATATTGTATGAAATATTTACTCAGATTGTCTAGTTCTTGTTAAATTAATACTGCTGAACTATAGCGATCGAAATTAAAGTTAATTCAATGAATCAATACTTCTTCGTAGTATAGAAGTGAGTAATGGCCGACTTTTTTCGCACGGGTAACTAATGGAAAGCAATCATCTCAATGTCAGACAATTAAATACGCATTAAGCTCTTGACTGAGAAAATATTGATTTAAGAGTAAAATGGTTGATTCTCAGAATTATTGTTATTAAATATTAAAAAATTCTATCGTACATCAAACAAAAATGTCATTGGCATTTGTTTACTTCCACCGTTTTGAATTCTGTAGACACAAAAAGTGAATAATCAATTATTGAAATTTTATTTGAGTTGGCAATTCTATTCGCTTGCAAATTGAAGAACAAACAAACTAAAACTTTTATTTTTGCCGAGCCATGAGACTTTTGAAATAGAAAAATAGTAATCTGCACATGTTGAGCCGCAGGAGTTTTCTTTCGAGGATTTAGTAACACCCAAGTTAAGCAGGGATAAGACCGGTGAAAAAGGTCCGAGCAAAGATTTCGTTAAGTTTGTTTTCTTTTGGATTCATTTAACATTTCGTTTAAGCGATGGAAAAATATTTTAATTCTGAAGTTAATTGAATTTTTATAAAGTTTTTAATTTTTTGTCCAATTTAATCCAACGATTAATTAAAAATTCTTGATGCTTATAAAGGATCTGCTTTTATACTGTCTGCATAGTTATTTAGTCAACTTAATCTTAAGTGTAAGTCATTTCAATTAAAAGCTGTTTAATATAATAAATTTGAAATATGCAATGTCAAAGAAAATTCAAAGTTACAGTGTCAAGATGAATTTAACATAAAGCTAACACACAATCTTAAGATTAACAATCTATTTCTTGTGTTCCGTATTACATAACTATGCTAGATCACATATCATGTCGGATTTATATATGGTTTACAGAAAGTCAGCGGAAAATAAGATACTAAAAAAATATAAGAATTGCCAAGTCACGTTGAGATTACAAGATATAAAATCACAAGTGAGGATATTCTCTTTTTTGCTGCAACTGTGTTATTTTATTTATTATTGAATAATTAATTTTTAATCTTTATTTATTTATTTGTAAAAAAATGCCCTCGGCAATTTACAGCAATATGTTACATTTTCATGTATAGAATGTTTGGTAATGATTTTAAACAATAAATAACATCTTTATAGAGAAGAATAGATCTCATTCCTATGTAGAATGGTAACCATTACTATGCTACATAGTAACGAAGATTTTTCCGAGAGTTCTGTCTAAATTTGTTGATAAAAATCTTAAAAATTGTGATAAAAATATGAACAACCACCCATTCGTTGCGGAATTAAATTCTGAACATATTGATGTTGTTTTTTTATTTTTTTGATAAAAATTTCAATTTGTTATAAACAAAAAACATAAATAAAATAAAAAATCTCAGTTTTTTGATCGGAAAAAAGATTCTTAAAGAGGAGAAAATTTCTGAAAATAAGTCTTGACTCCCGGAACTCTAGCTTGAAAAACAATATTTTTTACTTAATGTTGAAAATAAGGTTCCGCGCAATTGCCGTCGTATTTTAGCATCGGCGCAGCCATGTGACAAAAGTTTTAACATTAAATAAAAATTATTGTTTTTCAAGGTAGAGTTCCGGGAGTCGGGACTTTTTTTCAGAAATTTCCTCCTCTTTAAGGATCTTTTTTCCGATTTTCGATATCACCTATAGTTATTGAATTATTTACGAAAAACTGAGATTTTTTATTTTATTTATGTTTTTTGTTAATAACAAATTGAAATTTTTATCAAAAAATAAAAAAACAACATCATTATCTTCAGAATTTAATCCCGCAACGAATGTGTGGTAGTTCATATTTTTATCACAATTTTTAAGACTTATCAGCAAATTTACAGAGAACTCTCAGAAAAATTTTCGTTACTATGTAGCATAGTAATGGTTACCATTCTACAAAGGAATAAGATCTATTCTTTTCTCTCCGTGTAGATTTAAGAAATTTAAGAAATTCAAGGAATTTAAAAAATTTTTTTAAATTTTATAATAAACATTATTTTTTAAAAAATTATTAATTTAATAATTTATGTAACTTTTCCAGTCCAATTTATTGCGGCGGAGAATTATTGAAAACTGTCCAATTGGCAGGCGTGTTTCCCGATAGTAAAACTTTCGTCGATCTTTATCAACTGCACGATCCGTCAGTGACCTTGACCAAGTAAGTTATAAAATGATATAATATAACATCAGTTCTAATAACAATGATAACTCTTGTTTGATTCTTCATTACAAAATCAAATAAAAATAATAGATAAAAACATTAATACTCTAAGCAATTATCTCATCATAATATTTACAAATCAGATTATTTTCTTATCGTAAATAAATTTCTAGTAATTTAATTAAATATTTATTTTGAAAGATAGAAATACGTCTTTATTTACTTAAACTTGACATTAAAAATAATTATAATTACATATTACTAATTCTAATTATTATTTGTTTAATTTCAATTCACGATCAAAAATTAAACTAAATTAAATTATGGATATTTTGTACATAAAAAATATGATAAAATTTATTGTAACAGAAAAAGATGATATTTATAAACATAAAAAAACTTTATTCACTTTATTAGCACTCTTGAATTGTTGAAGTGTAGTTTCATCGCTCGATTTTACGCTTCAGCATATAAATTGTTATCGATACTATCTTTCACTTTTTCACCGCTCTTCATACTAATTCCCATTTCTTTGATGTATATGTCGTTGGAAATAAATAAAAGCACCCTTCTGTAGTCAATCGAATTTTTCGCGTAAAAAAAGTTTGACTGAATATTTACATAGCAATAAAAATCAGTAACTATTGTTTTAAGTTTTTACATATTTGTTTACTATTTTTGATTGAATAAAAATAAATATTGAGTCTCAATTGTGTACTTTCAGTATTTTCTTTTAATAAATATTGCCATGCCTTGAATAACAAAATAAATAAATATATGAATGTATTTATTACTGAAATAAAATAAACAATAACGTTTTGAACTAATATTTTAGTTTCGAAAAGCTCATGTCGGCAACAGGAGGTAAGCCGAATAAAACGCAAGTCTCGAAATTCGTAACAGAAAACTTCCACAGAAGCATTGACGTACTACCCTGGACGCCGCCTGATTGGCAATCAATCCCCGCAATACTTAAGCGCATCCAGGACCCGAAATTTCGAGGATGGGCCAATCATTTAAACAACGTCTGGCTTAATTTATCCCGACAAATGTCACCGGATATAATAGCGCGGCCGGAAAGATTCAGTTCTATTCCTCTTGAAAATGGATTTATTGTCCCTGGTGGAAGATTTCAAGGTTCGTCTTATATCGATTTCGAATAAATTTATATATTTATTTACTGCGGAGTACTTTATAAAAAAGTGTTGCCGCTCCTTTATTCAATAAAATGGTGAATTGCGAAGAAAGAGACGTTTCTTATTCCTATTTATTGCAGAAATTTACTACTGGGACAGTTATTGGGTTCTTGAAGGACTTCTTCTCTCTGGTATGAAAGAAACGGCAAAAGGAATCATTTTAAATTTCATATCTATGGTGAATAGATTTGGCTTTATTCCAAATGGTGCTAGAGTTTATTATTTGATGAGAAGTCAGCCTCCTTTACTTATTCCAATGGTAAGTTTTCAACTTCTTAATTGTTATTATTATTATTATTATTATTATTATTATTATTATTATTATTATTATTATTATTATTATTATTATTATTATTATTATTATTATTATTATATTGTGAAACTTTAAAATTTAATAACAATCAGAATTTTCATAATCTCTGAAATCTTTCGACTTATTGGAATATTTATCAAAGTAAAATGCACATATATTTTTTATAATATGGTTAGTAAGGTTCTTTTTAACTTGCAAAAGTTATTATTACATTCATTTTAAAATTGATATTTAAAAAAGTTAGACTGAAGATTGATTTAAGTTTTTTTTTTTTGATAAATTAACTCCTTTAAAAGTTTTTTAAAGTCGAAATTTAATTTTTAGTACAAGTTATGATTTTTTTATTTAAATAATTTGAGTTATATTTTTTAAGCGTATTATATTGAAAAAAATTAAAGTATATTTTACAATTAATTTTTATGTTCAATAAATTAAAAAAATAAATTACTAATAATATTTTTACGAATTTTTTAAGCTTCTTTTGAATTTGTAAAAGTCATCTATATTATTAAAAGAATCCCTAGCGGATCGCTATACACTAAGTATACACCAAATATACACGGTGTATACGCGACGTATATACACTGAGTATACACCAAGTTTACACCAAAAATTTTTTTTAAGTCCCATTTTCATAAAAATTTCTAAGTGTTGTAAGCAAAGTCAAAAATTTTTTAAGTGTGACTGGGAAAAAATTTTTTTACAACCAAAATAAGTGTTTCTGTATCGACTGGAAATAGCCTGAAACGAATCAACAACATATAATCAAATATATTCAATTCTAAATATATTAAAAACAATAATCAGAATTACATAAAGAAAATAATTTTCAATTATTTAAAAAAATCTTTCAAAAGCCCCAGTAGTTGAACATTAAACTGTGACAGGCTGCAGTACTTGAACACCTCTGTACCAGAACTTGAACAATCATTTAGTATGGCTTTAGACACTTTTTGTTAAAATAAATATAAAAGATTTTAGACCCAAAAATAAGTATTTATTATAAATGACATTAAAGTTAGCAGTCACTTGACTATTTGTTAATTTTTTTAGCAAATAAATGAATTTATTCCAAAAAATTATTTTTAAAAAATTGCATTTTTAATTTTTTTTAATTTAAATGGGAGGTATACCTGAACAGCTAAATTAAATATAAAAAAATAATTAAAACTCATTATTAACAACAGAATATTTTGCAAAATGATCTATATTTTTGATTAGTTAAGTTTTTTTGATGAATTCTCAAATATTTTGGGTTATTTCGCCATTTTTCTATTGTTGTGATATCATTTTCATTCAAAAATGGATACTAATCGACACTTTCAATGATCCCGTCATTAGATATTAAATAAAATATAATATTTAGCTTTGACATTAAAAAATATTTCTTGTATCATTAACTAAGACATCAAGTTATCTTAATATACATTAATTATAAATGTTTACTGCCGGAGTTTTTTAATAATATAAGAATTTCCAAACTGTTCAAGTACGAGGGCCATTTTTAAAATTGTTCAAGTACTGGGTACTTTACCTAAAAATATTAATTTTTTTTCAAAATTTGATTTTTTTTAATTTCAATTTTTTTTTTTTTAATTTTTTTCACAACTTTTGTTCTGAGGACTTAAAAAATTTTTTTTAGTGTATACTCGGTGTAAACTCCGTGTATATTGTGCGCATATACACCGTGTAAATTCAGTGTAAACTTGGAGTGTATTTGGTGTATACTCAATATGCACTGAGTATACACCAAATAAACCCCTAATTTACACTGACACTAAGTATACACCGAGTTTACACTAAGTTTACACGGTGTATATGGATCTGCTAGGGATAAAAAAAATTTTATCTCCAGGATAGTCATATAATAAAATTGTTTTTTTTTTTTTTAGTGAAATTTAGTGTCATTGCAAAGGTCTTGACTTGAATTTGTGCCTTTTCAAGGTTTTATATCATTCTCATCGATAATCAATTTATGATAATAAGTATTTAGACTACATTCGAAAATACTCTATCTCTAGATACATAATTGAGAAATGACCTTGTATCTTGTGAAATATTGACATTTTTAAAGATTTAAGCTCATCCCGATATTGCACTCATCGAGACCTTTCATTTGAGTACCCACATGCATTTCGATATATTTTTCATATATACATATATAATATATATAAATATATGAATATATATAAATATATAAAAAAATGATGTGGGTACTTAAATGAAAGATCTTGATGAGTGTAACATCGGGATGAGCTTATTTATATCTTTAAAAATATCAATAATTAAGAAAATGACCTTGTATCTTGTAAACTATTGACATTTTTAAAGATATAAGCTCACCCTGACATTACACTCATCGAGACCTTTCATTTGAGTACCCACATCAATTTTTCATATATTTTATATATTTATATATATGTATACATTTATATATATATATGATATATATGTATATATGAAAAATATATCAAAAATGCATGTGGGTACTCAAATGAAAGCTCTTAATGAGTGTAACATCGGAATGAGCTTATATCTTTAAAAATGTCAATAGTTAAGAAAGCACAGTGCAATTTAACAAAAGTCATTATATAATTAAGTAAAATTTTATTTATTTGTAATTTACAAGTCTCGGCAGTCACATAGCGACTGCAAGGTTGCTAATCAATACATTAGCTTCAAAATTCACATCTATAAATTAGACTAAAGATTGACTTAAATTTTTTTTTGATAAATTAACTACTTTAAAAGTTTCTAAAAGTAAAGATTTAACTAGTAGTAAAACTCTAGATTTTTATCTTTAATCATTTTAATACATTTTTTAACTGTATTCTTAAAAAAAACATAAAAATTAAATTATATTTAGTTTATTTTTATATGTAATAAATAAAAAAAAATAATAATATCATTAAAAGACACTAATGAACGAATATGTATAATAAAAATTAATAAAATGATGCATTTACAAAGTAGTAGCCACAACTACCAATAAAAGTGACCTTACATAAAATTTATGTATGAGTCTCTGGGTAGAAATAGGATAGTCCCCAGAGTGTGAAACCAGAGGCCGTTGTCCTAGAATTTAATATCTCTCAAGCTTCCAGAATTCACATTAATTCTTTTCTACTCTTTGCTTCTTTACTTCTACTTTGATATTTTTTCTGTAGCTTCCTGGTTTATCTGTCTTTCAAACAAAAAAAAGGTTTGGACGTAACTAGTAAAAAAGTTCCTTGAATTAATAAGCAATTAATTCAATCCTCGTTCACAGATTCTAATTAATGTTTGAATACACTTAAATCTAGTTTATCTTAGCGAAAGTAGTCGAGCAAATAATTCCAAATTGTAATAAATTTCAGGTTGTATATTTATTTCGAATTTATGCTGATGAGCGTAAAATTTTGTTCTAGCATTATTTACTTTTTTATTAAAACTAGAATTTAAATTTACGCACGCAAGCGCGCGCCTTGACTATAGAGTTTGCATATATTTTCATGCTTATGATATATTTGACCAATCACGTTACGAATAGTTTGATGCCACATACATTTCATCTCAATTTTATATTAGGACTAGAATTTAATTTACGCGCGCCTCATATTTATTGTCATGATATATTTATGTGTCGTTTATGTATATTATATTCACTTTCAACCAATCAGAATGAGAATATTTATTTTCGACCAATCACATTACGAATAAATTGGTTTCACATACATTTCATCTCAATTTTATTATGGGACTAGTATACGTTGCGCGCGCAAGCGCGCGTGTGAATGTTGGTATGGAATTATCTATATTTTCATGCTTATGATATATTTGACCAATCACATTACGAATAAAATGTCTTCATCAATGTATATATTTTCATATTTTTCATCTAAATTATTTTATATTATATTAGGATTTTTATACGCGTAAAATTTATGAGATAAAGGGAGCCAAGTTATTTTAATAGAGAATAAACAGTGGATAACTTGCCAAGCGTGTTGATAGCAACGGAAATTGTAATGCAAGCTGGTGAATGGCACGTATAATGTTGCTATCAAGAGCAATACTTGTAAAATGTTTGCATGAATGTCAAACATATAATATCGGATTTCAGTTCATAGAATCGAGCTTTTCTCAACAAACTTTCATGTCACGTAATAATATGTTGACAGTAACAGTCAAGTGATACCAATGTTTGTCATACTAGATATTTGTCGCTGCATATATGTACTGCAATACCATTTCAAAGAGATAATTTACCATGATGGTAATTGATTACACGGGATTATTTTCATTATATGACATTAAGTACTTTTTTTTATTGTTATTCAGAAACTACACGGAGAAAATTTTATAGTAGAATTTATTAATGACATCAAAGTTAGCAGTCGCTTGACAATTTTTTGATTTTTTTTAATAAATAAATTTGCTCCGAAAAATTATTTCTAAAAAATTGGATTTTTTATTTTTTTAATTTTCTAAAAGTCAATTTTTTTTTTTTCATTTTAATTTATTTGTGAAAAAAAATTCTTAAAATTATAAAATATCTGCTAAATTAATTTTCATAGTTTATTATCTAGTTATTTTAAAATCTATTAACTGAATTCGATAGTAGTAAATATTATTTAAATAATTAAGTAAACCATCTGAATTGTAGTATTTACCATCCTGATGGTAACTACTACTATTATGATGGTAATCACAATCAGTAATAATAACTATTATTATTTTAATTAGTTACTACTATTATCAAAATCGTAATTCCTAATATAACCTGATGGTTGATAGTTCCATCAGTAATAATAATAACTACTATCTAAGCTAGTAAAAAATATTAAAAAAATTAAGAATCTGCGGTAGCGTGGATGCATTTTTTTTGAAAAAAAATTTGAAATTTCCAAAAAAAAATCAAAATTTTCAATAAAATTCAAATAAATCAAATTTTCAAAAAAAAATTTTGAAGGGAATTTAAAATATTTTAATATTTCAAAAAAAAAATGTACA